GAAGTCTGCTCAATTTTTACTGGCAAGCAAAATTATATTTCTGTACATTAATTTGCTGCTTGAATAGGGCAATGCTGTGTATTACTATAATGCTGCAGGGTCAAAAGTTAGTTGAAATATTGCTGCGTTTACATCAAGGCTGACTTGGACCCACCCAGTATAAAGCAGCCGTCCTCAATAAATGGCCCGCAGGCCGGACCATTCTTTGTGGACATTCTTCGTGGATGCTTTGGCTGACCTCATCAGGTCAACTGGTTTAATTTTAATGTGGTTAAAATTAAACTACAAACCATTGTAGTTTGATTATCTGGTCAATTCAGTTCTGTTCAACTACAACGAAGGAGCAAGATAAGGACGTAACTCGTTCTTTATTTGATCCTGCCGCCTGAAACTCTTGGAGAAACTGTCTGATGTGGACTTTGTGGTGGAGTCAGATTATTCTGGGGTTTTTTTTTCAACTTTTTCTGAACTTTTCTCTGAATGTGAGAGGAGGTCAATGAGTCCTGCTACAGGATGGATTTCAAAAAGGGGGCATGTCTTGTTTCCAACTAATGCAGAGACTTTCTGGTGCTGGAAGTTTGATTTTTGGGCTCATGCATTATGCCATCACCAGAATTTACAACGTGCAATTTTCTTTTGATTGCCTCAGGCAGGCTCATGGATGCGTCGCCACATTGGAGACAGGAACAAGCGCTATTCAGCCAAAGTTTCATAATCAGGGAACATTCTGTAAGTGACAAGTCTCTGAGAGACAGGGTTTGGAAAACACTAGCATCAGTGAGAGGGATCTTCCCATATGCACTCTGGGTCTGCTGCTGCCTTTAACGGACTCACTCCAAGCCCCCCTCCACATCTTCGGCTCGCTGTCCGCCTTACATGCATCCTAGCTAGCAAGCTGTGCTAAGCAGTGTCTAGTATAATGCTCAGATGTTGATGGGAATCTTCTCTTTATTGATTTAGCTACCTCCTCGATGTGCGTAACGATTAAATTATCAGCGTATCTACGTGCGTCAGGGTGTCTTTCAAAACAACCAACAGCCTTGAGGTTTCTCCGACCCAAAAAGTAAATAAATAAATAATAAACGATCAAATTACGGGAAATATCCGGTCAATGCGAACTCTGCTATTTGCCTATTTTGCCTTCTTGTGAAGATTGTTGCAAAGGAAACAATTAAATTTGATTAACACCAGAGCCATGCACACTGAGCTGTTATTTCCGTCAATGTACATGAGTGAAAAATGAGTGTTCTTCTTTGGGTGTTTAGCATTTTTACAGTCATTGAACCACTTTCACTGCACTCACCACATACTCTCTTATCAGGTTCTCATGGTCTTCACTGAGGTACACACAAAGGCCTTTCACATCCAAGGTCAACGTCATCTTCCTATCGGATGTGGGACAGTTTTAATTTTAACTAGTACATTTTCTTAACGAGGATAGTTTGAATTGCATTTTCAAATCTCACATCTGTCATGTGGTCCATTATACTTTGCAGTCGTTTGCCATTCTGTCCACCTCTTTTTTTGTAGAGTGCAAGCAGTTTTGGAGAAAGAATGTGTCATGACTGAGGGAAGTTTCCTGACCCAAGACATGCAGAATTCACACTAGGAGACGTAGGTAGGAAAAAAATAAATGTTTTATTTTAAGGAGAACTAAAGGTGCACCGCCAGACGTGGCGGTGATGTTGAGCACAGCTCCGGGGCTGGGTCTGTTGAGACAAACACTGTCAGTGTTGGGCAGCGGGGAATAGAATTGCAGGACTCAGTTTGTAGTGGATCTTACTGTGGGGGCTGAAATCCAGAGCTTGGGAGGGTAGCCAGGACTGGGGTGAGCAACGTCAGCGTGAATCCAAAATCCAAGGGAGGTGAGCGGTGGGAGAGCGGGTCGGTCCGGGTGAGGAGGGAGATCAGGCTTGGAGATGAAAAACCAGGTTATTGCAGGAAAGGTTTGTGGTGAGAATTCCTGATGAAGGGAAGGCAGAGGTCATCAAAAACCAACAATGACGACGGACAAATATAAGGCTAGACTAAAGCTGTAGTTTTCTATAGCGGCAAGAGCTACCCAAGTTGAGTAATCTTCCGGCAAGGTGAAGTGATCTCCAGCTCCTTTTAACCACATGAAGTAGATGAGGGAAATCATCGCAGCTGGCCGCTCTCCGGAGCCGCCCACCTGCAATGACTTAAGGTGATTAGAGGAATGTGCAGACTCACCCCAGATCCTGACAGAATGTCGAGCTGCGAAAGGAACCGGGACTGAAGTGGCAGGGTAGTGATTCTCTTGAACTCAGCAATTATCTGGACAACCAAGACAAAATTTTCAGTCAACATTTATAAAACAACTTTAATTTACATAAACTATTTTATTTACCTCCAACATATTAAAGAGAGCCGGCCATCGTTCCTGAACATCTTGAACCATGGGTGTTTCGCGAACAACCTCCAATCTTCTATAAGAGAAGGTCTTGCCCATTTTCTGCCTCACTACTTCCTTATTGTTTCTCTTTTTTACATCTGATAGAAGCTGTACTCGAAGCTTTTCTAAGCTTTCCTCTGACTCTCCTATTGGATAAGGAGGGCAGTAGTTCACTTCAGATCGTCTTGGCTTTTTAGTGGCAAAGACAGGGCCTTTTCCTTGTGGCTCAGTGCATTGACAGTTACTTCATGACAACCAAGTTTTCGTAACTGACTGCGATAGATTGCTAGCTTGTTTTTCAAACGATGTTTCCATCGACACTGTAAAACCTGATAAGTTAAGCTAACTCAAATGATTTGGGGAAACCAATTGCACAAATTGATTTAAGTTTTGTAACTCAAACTATTTGAGTTTATTTAATTATGCGAGTAGAGTCTAATTAATTCAATACAATTATGATACGTTAACTCAAATGGTTATGTTTATCAACTATTTTTATTTAGTATAGTCAACTTAAACCTTTAAATAAGCGGCACTAAAATGCCGTATATATTTTAACTTATTTAAAATAAATTCCTCTTTCATAATCCGACTGAGTTAAATTAACTTGAATGGTTCTTAGTTGAATAACTAAAGTTACTCAATTCAACTGGGGAAACCGATTGCACCAAACCGTATTAGTAGTATTAACACAACAACAAACTCGGACTTTCTCCATTCAGTTTTATTAACTTGAACTGCAGAAAAAACAGAATGATAACAACTGCACATTTTTTCAAATTTGCTAAATGCTTTTTTCCACTGTGTGTACATAAAATGTTCCGTGAGAATAATTCCAGTATTTTTAGTTGCCATTAACCATCATGACCTGAATTTTAATTAAGAATATCCAGATTTATTGACATGCACCTAACGAAAATGCAAACAAAGCTTAACTACAAGGATGTCATCAGCCATTATTAACACATACTGTAGGAATACAATATTAAATTTCAACGCTGTTATTGTACAACAGTTTGCTTAAAGATTAGTGTCCTCAACTGCTGTGGCCAAACCTCAATGGCAAAATGGAAAGATGTCATTTGACAATAAAACATAGTGATTACAAATGTCAATTTGGACTGATCATCAGTTATTGAACTTTGAAACTTGCTGACATGAACCTAAATACAAATATATCATAGAGGAACAATGACAAGTGTTTATGAATATTGTAGGAATGCAATAGATGAAGTCAATATAAACATATGTAAAAAAAATCTTCAAAGATACTTGTGGCCTCCCAGTTTACCTTAAAAGTGTATCACAAAAATGTCAAGTATTTGAAATGTTTCTTTATTAGCTTTCAGCATATTGCTGTTTTAGAAGGCTGAGAACATGGACATATAAAACTATTGACTTGAAGCCATTCAAAGATTAATGAACAAGCAAGAACATGTGAAAAACAAACCCCATCTACACCAGCTCATTTTTCAGTGTCTGTAATTTTGGTCTGAGTTGCTTTCTCTCATCGTCTAGCTTCAGCAACACTACTTGAATGAACTCAAAAAAGCTACTACACTTCACAGGATAGCTGAGATGCAGAGCATATATTAGCCCAAACAAACACACCAAAGCATCAGTCCATCTGTAATGAGTCATTACAACCTGATCTTCAAGAACAACGAACACTTGGCGTGGTGAGAAAGGAACTCCAGCAGGCACATCCTCTTCACCCACATCAGCAACCAGCGCAAGTGCAGCTTCATGGAACTCCATTTCATCCTGTCACACATCAAAATTATTGATGAGAACTATTTATGTCAGATATAAAAATCAACACAAATACAAATAGCCAGATACCTTAAATTTTTTCAAATTGTATGTATTACCACTTTTTTGTCATTTCAATAGGAAAATTATTGCAATTCCCAAGTATAACATACCTTGCATGTTTTGAAAATGCCTGAAGAATCCTCCTTGAGGTAAATCGGCAGGCCAGCCAGGGCTGCTGTTCTTGTTGTGCAGATGTCATTCTTGTCCTTAAAGGACAAAAAATATATAAAACATGACAAATGGGACTACCATGCAAACAGTAGAGTGAAAGTATTTTTAAGTACCTGTTGCTCATATTCCAACAACAGCTGGTCCATGTTTTCACCAACCCGTCCAGTTTTCTTCTTTTTGTAAAGTCCAATCAGCCGAGGAGCATATTCATCCAGTGCAGCATAAAAAACATGTGGTAGATGAAGATTGGTAATCCGGTGAAATTCACAGTAGAGCTGAAGAGAATAAACCAAAAATGATATGAAAAAAAATGCTGTATACTTTATAAGCAGTAAATTTAATATAGTTGTACTTACCTGTGTCTCATTAAAGAGAGCTGGCCATCTGTCCTTAAGCTCTGATACAGGAAGAGAAGATGTAATGATCTCTTCACGTCTCAGGGAAAAAGTGCGCATCATGTGCTGATGAATGAGTGGAATGTCCCTTTCAGCAGAGGTCTTCCGGAACTCTTCTATCATCTCAACCCTCCTTTTCTCCAGAGACTCTCTTGTTTCTCCAGAAGGACAACTGGGAAGGAAGTTGACCTCACCTCTCTTAGGTCTTTTACTATTGGCTCTTGGTGCAGCTCCTTCTGGGTTTGTTCTGCTGCGTTTTCCAGAGTTTACAGCAACATCTCTGATGCCGGCTTTGGCCAACTTCTTTCTTTGGTTTCCTATTTTGTGTCTCAAACTATTCTTCCATCCTTCCCAACCAGTGTCAGAATTGTTCTCCTTCAGACAGGGATGCTTTTCAACTAAAGCCTTTGCAGCCTTTCCAATCTGTGTGCTACTAGGATATGCCTTCAGTTTAAAAATTTTCTTCCCCCATTACCTCGAGTATGTTGTGTTTTTGATCTCTAGGAAGTCTAATTAGTTTCCCATCTTTTTCAAATGCTGCATTACCTTCCTTTAGCACATGTTCCACCTCATAAGAAAATTTTGGAACAATAAAAACCTCTGGCCACCGACTAATACGCTCTGGTGAATCTATGGCATCAGTGCTATCGTTCAGAAGACTTGTCTCACTAGTGCTGGTTGAAATCAAGTCCAGCTCCACTAATCTGATTATTTTAACCGATGCTGTGCTTGGGAGGTGTTCCATTTCAACCAAATTACACAATGCATGATCAAAATCTGGATCTTCAAACTGAAGCCTAAAGTCAAAAGTCAACTTTAGCCTAGTTTTGATTTCATCTATGAGGGCCTGTACACTGCTTGGGCGAGATGGCAGAATAAGTCTTTCAGCATTATCATTATCAAGGATGACCCTTAGCTTCAGTCTCTCTGTTGCCTCCATCTGAAGTTGTAGGTCCTGTAACATACAGGATTCAAATAATATAGCGACATTTCAACACACTCAGAGTTCTCATGCCATGTATGCATTACCTGTACACTGGCAGAAGGGCTGGGGAGATCCGCTGATATTTCAGTTCTGTTTCTTTAGTCAGACACTGGAATGAAATGTTTTGTTGTTAGAATTAGTTCATTTGCAATCTTATAAGCAAAATGTGGCAGGTGGTCAGACAGCTGGCACACAGATTTGACACTATGACTCTCCGGTATATGCTCGACTAGTTCGTATGACCTCAAGTGCTCAACATACAAAGTGTCGTAGTCTTTTAAGAGAAAATGCATTTTGTCGCTGATGAGTAGGATGTTTCGAATCTCTTTGAACTCTGGCAAGGCTGCATAAGCACCAGTACATACAAACATGCCAATTGCAAAGCTTGTGCCATCAATTGAGATATTTTTTGTTCCATAAACTGTGTCACTGTCAACAATACCTGAGATAAATGATTGTGTATCTGCAGGTAGTGATGAGATGTACATAGACTCCATTTTGGATGTCTGAACATGTGGTTTGAAAAACTTTGAGGATGACAAATAAAATGCCATCTGACTTTGATGTCGCTCTGCCAAAGTTTTTAACACATTTTTGTAGTTGTGAGTGTCATGAATAATTTTTTTGAAAACCTTATGCTTTCCCTCAAATCTCATTGTCCAAAGGTGGACCAAGGGACCAAAGCATTTTATCAAGTGTGGGTAATGCTCGATGTAATGATGCTTTGGCCTTAATCGAACATTAGGAAACACTTCTTGGAAAAGTTGCCGGTGGTCCAATATTTTACAAGCCAAGTACTGAATGGTCTCTTCATTAAAAATCTGAGACATGGCAAGCTGAACGACATCCTTTAACTCCATTAGCACTTCCCAAAACGTGTCTCTTTCTGGGACTTTTGAGCCAATGAGAAGAGGCAACATTATAAGCAGGGCATGATTTTCATGAGCATTCCCACCAATGGTCCCTCGACTGGCAAAATTAGTGGGTATTGGATGAGGGCGATCAACTTTGTCAGAATGTTGATATGGAAAGTGCAATATTGCTCGATTTAAGTCTTCTAATGTAAAATATTTACTGGAAATCAAACCTTTTAAGCAATGAGCTATCTCCACTGGAACAACGCCTTCAAACAGGTCGTGCAGGAGGTCAGGTGGGAAGCCTGTGACAGGATGGAAGAATGACAGATGGTCAGAAAGAACACAACTGTTTTTGACATCACAATTTCCCTCACTGCCATCGCTCTGAAGCTCTGGTAAAAGATTGTCATGAAGATCCTTTGTTCTCAGCACATAATCCCCTGTAACTGCATTTTTTGTCTGCATTTCTATTTGTGTGGCATGACAAAACCTGCAGAAATGTGTAGACCTGAAGCTCTCATTGAACCCAGCAAGCCCATGTGCGGCAAGGTTATCTGCCACAACACAGTAGACAGTGCCTTTAAGACATTCACCAAGGGTATCAATGTAGATGCCTACTTCTTCAAGAGTTTTCAGATCATTTAAGAGTGGTGACATCATTTTCTTAAACCCAAACAGGCGCACATCATTAGAGTTGCACAGGAGAGCAAGCTGAGTGCAGTGGAGAGCAGAACGGGATTTAACTGGAAAGTTTGCCAGTGTCCAATAAACTGCAAAAACTTTATGTATTTTCTTTGAAGTACCGAGTGGGTTTGCAATTTCAAAATCATCCACATAAAGCATTATCGAAAGTTTTGTTCCCTCTTGTGAGAGTAGAACATTTTCCTGGTAGTAGGATCCATCACAAAATGACATGAAATGTCCAGGTATCTGAGTGGGTGTTTGTTGAACTTTTTCAAGGAATTTGGTTTTTTTCAACAACATTTGCAAAGATGTAAGAATTGACACATACATGTATGTGTGCTTTGATGATTCAATTAAATACTCCACAGGCTTGACATACGGAAAGTTTGCTTCATAGTAAGATTTTCTCATCTTTGCTGTTGACAGTGGTCCACCAGATGTGATACATTTATGTAAAACATTACTATCAGAAACTGCCTGACAAATGTCATCGACCAGTTTGTCAGTATATAGACAGTTATGCTTCTTCAGTATATCAACTACTGATGTTTTAATGAGAGGTTCTGTTAACAAAAACAGGTGATCAATGTGCTCAATGATAGGGCTGTAGCGAAGACTCGACGAAGTCGACGGCTCGATTCTAAAAATTTGTCGACGTCAGATCCGGAAGTCGACGCACCGCGCCCACTTGTTGCATCCCCAGGAGTTTGTAAATAGAGGAGGAATCTGCCCGTTCTTCCTCTAGTTCGCCCTCTTCTCCGCCTTCACTAAAATCTCCGCCAAATACCGAAGACCCGGAACAACGTCCGTCCACTACTAGATTATTTTCCTGTTTTGCCCCTTCGTCTCCCGGCAACGGACAACAACTTCCGGGGTCAGATGCGCTGCTTCGTGTCTATCGCAGATGTAGAAAATCACCGGGAGCGCTTCTCCCTTCATTAAGGAGCTTCTTTCAGACATGAGGAGAGCTGTTTTGGTGGTAGCAGTCTCTCCTCCGTGCTGGTCTGTTTGCTGCTGGGTGTTTTTGGTTTATTTAAACTTGGTAACTTGAACTTAACGTTGGTAAAGCTACTGTTAGCATCTTCGCTAACAGCTTCTTGCGTTGGGATAAGCTGTTACGTTTTGGTTTAGAGTTCATCTTTTTTGTGGTGTAGATCTCCCTTTTATTACATTTAGAGTGTTGTGGGTTTTCGGTTTAGTGTAAAATACCACCTGAGTTTGGTTTAACCCGTAAGACCACTCGCCTCACGCACATAAGTGACCAAAACAAAGCAGCATGGAGACACTCCATCTTCTACCACCTCTCAGGCAGCAGCCTGCACTCCCAAGTTCTACACGTCACCAGAACATAACCAACCGCAACACAATAAAAGCAGTGTTATACAAAATGGAAGGCCTGTAGTGTTTATTCTCTTACAGTAAGAATTTATCAATTTTTTTGAGGAATTTATTTGAGATTTTCTGGTTTTTGTTAATTGTGCAATAGAAAAATAATCATTAGATTAATTTTCTAAATAGTCATTAGAATAGTCGACTATTCGATAAAATAATCGTCAGAATAATCGTTTTAAAAATAATCGTTTACCCCCAGCCCTACTCAATGATCTCCTGTGTTGCTCTCTGGGACACATGGAGAATGCTCTGCATTTTCAAGAAAAAGCCAGCTAGATTGTGCTGCAACTGCTCTTCTAAACCGTCAGTTGTACTCATTTCACTAGTGGATGCCACTTCACTTTCATCTAATGGTTCTACTGAATCAAGCTGCATAACATCCTTTTGGCCTACATTTAGGACACTTTGCACAATGCCTTCATCATAATGTGCTGAACTTTGGTGTTCTCGGCATTTGTGCACATTGAATGTTGAGTATACATTGGTTTTAAAATTGCAGCCCTTGAAAGGACATGGAACAATTTCTTTCAGTTTTAAATGCCCCCTCAGATGGATAAACATTTGCCTTTCAATAAATGGCTGCTTAAAGTTACACACAGGGCAGCAAAATCCATAATTATTAAAAGCTGGATTTGAATGGTCTTTTCTTTGTGTAGCAGTATGTATTCTTGACATATGTACCTTTAATGAATTAAATGTACTAAATGTACACATGCAGGTGGTGTAGAGACAGGGTAAAGGTGAAATTGTGGAGTACTGGCCATGGTTAAGCCGGTAATGTTTCAGCAACATGACTTTTATCGCAGTAGAAAAACTACACAACTTGCAATTCCACATTTTGTCATAAATCAAAGGGTCCCCAATAAGATGTCAAGTGTTTTATATCACCTTCACTGGCCGTTTTTAGGTGTTTTATAACACCTTCACTGGCCGTTTTTAGGTGTTTTATATCACCTTCACTGGCCGTTTTTAGGTGTTTTATAACACCTTCACTGGCCGTTTTTAGGTGTTTTATATCACCTTCACTGGCCGTTTTTAGGTGTTTTATATCACCTTCACTGGCCGTTTTTAGGTGATGAAAAGCAGTGGATGATCTCTCCTTGTGCGCAGCTTCTTCAGTCAAAACACTGCAATGTCACAGAAAACAAAAATGTTAATGTATTTTGGCAAGTGAACAGAAAGCCAGCAAGACAAGACTACAACAAAATATGCTGAAGTTGAATGGCAGGAGTTTCAAAAAACAGTTTATTGAGTAAATGATAAAATAGTCTTGCTTAATGTTATGTGATGGACAGAAGACGGAAGCTGCCGAGCTCCGAGGGTGTGGTGATTGGACACCAGCTGGTCCTCGTTATGGATAACGAGGCCAGGGAGGATAAAAGGGTGACAGACCTACTGAGAGGGGTGCGTGGTCGACCTGTCATTGTGGCATCGGACTTTGGGGGGTGGGGTCGTTCGCAGCCGGGTAGGGCTGCCGGCGACGAAGATAGCTGAACAGGTGTTTAGTGTTCCAGCGCCAGGAGGGAAGGCTGGTCGCCTTCTTTAGACAGTTAGGGCTGGGCATAGGTGATGCCAAGGCCGCGCCGACATCTGCCGCTACGGACTCTGGCAGTGGACTTATGTTGTGGATTTACCCGCCGTCCTCGCAAGCTACACCCCGGGGCGTTGGACGGCGTTGGAAGCTCAGACCCCGGGGACGGGGGTCACACCATCCGTGACAGCTAAGTACCGCTGCTTATGTGACTCATGCTGGACAGTTGGTTTTAGAAGAGAGGGCTTGGGCCATGGTGTTTTATCGTTGTGTTTTATTATTGATTGTGCAATAAAGTGTGTCTTTTATAAGTCGTTGCCTACTGGTGGTGTGTTCAGGTTCTGACCGGAGGGCAAGATATTCTGCCCGTGCTGCCCACGGCTACTTTTATTACAGTTAGAATGAAATTAATCTACCCTTTTCACACATGTGGTGTAAAAAATCCTTGAATGTTACAAAGTGCAGTCAGAAATTACTAACAATAATTTAAACGTTAAGTTTAATGTCATTAATTTTGGAAAAAGTTTCAGCACTTAGTTTTTACTAAAATGGCGCCCATGGTTATATTTAAATTTTTTACCAGCGGTCTTGTCGTATACTCTAAAATGAATCGTACATAAGGACTAGAAAAAGTTACGCTAGAAATGTCTAAACTTACTTTACTGTGTGAAGCTTTAAAAAGATAGACTAGCAACAACCATCTAACTAAAATAAGCCACCAACCGTTATATTTTAAATCAATACAGGCGGGTATCTTAAAGGCCCAATGTGTGATATTTCATCTTATAAGTTATCAAATTTCTTGTATCACATTCTCAAATTTGTTTTTTTAATGATAATTCAAACAAGCATTTATTCTAAGCATTATTATTAGCTTTATATTTTAATATTTTAGACAAAAGAAGCAGACCGGTGCTCCATATGGCATGCGCCATCTTAAAATACAGTGACCTTTTAGGGACATACAACATATTAAGCTTCGCATTTGATGTTTGCGTTTTTAAATGATGTAACCTCAAAAAAACAGCAGGGGGCAGAAGTGCGCCTTGTAAGCATGCAGTCTGACAAAGTAACTAAGAAGAAGAAACTAGCCACACCGTACTTCTAGCGATGGAGGATCACACATATTCTACAAGCAAACTTGAGAAACGGGATAGTTTGTCTCATCCAAGTAAAAGAAAAAGGATTTTGAAAAGTGAACAAGATCGGCGTCATGAGAAAACCAGAGTAAATATAGGAGTTGCCTTCCCAAGATGGAGAGACCTCATGTTACAAAAGGGATTCAGTAGACACGCTGAGCTTGCTACCTTCCTTTTGGACAGGTAAGTTAAAAATGTGTGTTTAATTTCTTCATTGTAGTAGTTGTGTGCTTTGTGACACAAAGTTTGTGTGGAGTAAGCTAGAGTTTGGGAAACAGCTCATGCTAACTAGTGCCAAAAATGTAGCACACCATCTTAAAATTCAGAAGCATTTCTTTTTGTTTATTGTTTATGCGCCTTCGTATACATATTTAATGATTTAACGATCGCTACCACACCGCTCGTTTTTGGAGATTACCGCATGCTCCGTGACGAGCAACCAGAACAGAAACAAAACATTATCGGCTGCCCGCTCCAATTACACAACACACTTTGTGTAATCATTGTCACAGGTTCGTTACCGACGGTTACACACACAGAACTAAACACCACACTGGCATTTTCACACAAATTTTTGTCAGAGATGATCTGCAGCACAGCACCTTCCCCCCCCACGCTCGATCGACTTGACGTATATGTGAAATTATGATGTTGAATCCTGTATTTGCTGAGGGACTAATTTCCCTTTCATGTGACATGTCAGAAAAATGAAGTTTCTATTCTATGTTATGTACAAACTCTGTAAAAGATTAACACAAGTATAATATCTGATCGTGCATGTTTTTGTGTGTGTGTGTGTGTGTGTGTGTGTTATATAATACAAGCACACACGTGTAATAAATAAAATAAATTTGGAATTTTTCTACTGATGTTTTACAGTTATGAGAGGACTCTAGCCACCACAACATCTACCCCCATGAAGGGGAAACATAGATCAATGGAAGATCCACCATTGTCCAGCATTTCAAGCGGAAATGAAAAGCAAGTTTTTTCCAAAAAACCTCATAGCTAATTTCAAATTGTTATACTACAACTAAATTTTTTTTCATTTTATTTTATTCTTTCCTATAAATAAGAGATGAACACTTGAGTGGAGTCACAGGAACACCAGAAATTGAAAGCCTTCAGCAAAGAATCCATATGTTGTTTGTAGGATTATAGCCACAAAATCTATTTTCATTATAATAATGAGCATTTTCTGTTTTTCTCTAAGCGTGCATGACATGGTTATTTCTGAAGATGACCTGGATGAGGATGTCTTCAATGATCCCATGAACAGTGTGTCAGTTACACTAACTCCTTGTTTACTCTACTGCTTGTGTATTGTCAGACTTGATATACAGATATTTTACTAAAAACATTTACAGAATTGACTGGGAGGACAGGGAGAATATGAGTAGTGCGGAACAGAGGGATGACAGCTCAGATGATGAGTATCTTCCTCCAATATCTATACGGTGAGTTATAAATTGTGATTAATTTTCATTTTGTGTCATCCTTTGGAATTCTTTTCCTCCAAAACTTTGTGTTCTTCTCCCTTAGAATGGGTGGTGCACTAAAATCAGCTCCTTCCATAGATGGTCTTCCTATAATTGGCCTTGATGAGACAGTGCATGACCTACAAGGTTGTGGAGATGATCCTCAGGAGTGCTTGGCTGATGTTGATGTGCCAATTTTGCCAGGAACAGAGAAGGTCATTGTTGCGGAAGACATCGTTGGTGTCCGAGCAGCAGTGGTGTATGAGAACAGCTTGAAGCAGCTTGTTGAGTTTATAACCCTGCCATTGGACAGGTGCACCGCTTTAACCCACAAAGCTGAAGTATGTGGCAGTCGTGCTCCCTTTCACAAAAAAATCTCCTACAAGGGCACAGCTATCAGTGTACAATGGGTAAGCATCACTGAAAAAATCATATCAAATGTATGCTGTTTCGTCAAGCCTTCTCCTACAAAGTGTATGAAGCCAGAGTTCTCCTTGCAGCACTGGATTATAACTTTCACCTTAATCGACCAGCAATCAGGAATGCTGAAGGCCAACTAATGTAGGTTTTACCTTTTTTTTTCAGTCAGAGTTGAGCCAAAATAATGCCTACCACTTACAATTAAAAAGCTGTATTAACGTTACTACACGTTATTTAAGTTTGTCCCATTGTCGTGACAGAAATTCATTATGCAATTGTCCTATTTTTTAGATTCAAACGGAAGTACAATAAGAATGCCAGAAGGTACAGTGTGTATTCACTAAAATCAGAAAAGGGCTACGAATACATTCCAGTACTCCAATCAAAAATAATCAACGAGAGGTTGGCGAGAGGAGTCGGGATGCCTCGTACCAGATCAATGAGGGATGATGACCCCAGACGGCTCGGTCTTGTGCCACCCATCGCTCCACCACCTATTTCGGAGCTAGTGCAGATCCAAGTCAGCCGAGGTCTTGGTATGTGTCATTTTAGCATCCTTTGACTACAGCTCAGTTCTTTACCTACACTTGTCTTACAATACTTTTTTCACAGTATCAGAACTCAACACAGCTACAGGCCTCCAGTGACGATCTTGTCTACATTTACATGGAGTATTCTATACCTGCTGCGTGTTACTAATGTAATGTACATAAAAATGTAGATATTGCACTTTGATGTCTTTCCTACTGTGCTAACATGTTGTTCTTTTTACTTGAAGTTGCACATAAATTCTGCACAGTCTTTTACGTTAGATCTATTCTTTATTATCCTAAAGTGTGTAAAATCATGTTTCAAGATTAAAATGTGTTCCAAATTTGTCTGTTCAAACTCTGAATAAGGTTAATTCAATTAAAAGTGCATCTGTACTAATTTCTTTATTTCTTATGTCTTTCAGAAAATTACATATTTTTTGTTTCATGACTTGACCCTGTAAGAGTGTAAATTAATAGCTCACTAATGTAATGCAAAACTATGGAGTTGTAACCTTCCTCTCCCTCGTCCTCTGTCTCCACTGACGAACCATCGGATGATATCTGACTCTGTTTACGGAGAGAAAACAATTACAGACTACACTACCTTGTATATTTCCAAAATGGCAAATAGAAATATAACATTTCTCAAATAAAATGAACAAAATATTGTCATTTTTTGTAGTCAGAAGTCATCACTAACTAGCTGCCGTTTGCTATTAGCAAACATAACTGACATAAAAAAGTTTTTCTTATTCAAAACCTATTTAGATTAAATTAATAAAATAAGTTAGATGAAAACAACTAACCTGT